CCAGTCTTCCACAATTCTCAAATTAACCTTAAAAAACCTGTTAATTAGCTTCGTCCAAAATGAAAGAAGAAGGAAAACGGAACAAGACGAAATGCTTGCTCTACGTTGCTGCTTTTGTTGTCTTCCAAACGGCTATCATCTTGGTCTTTGCACTCTTCGTGATGAGAGTCAAGAGCCCAAAACTCAGGTTCGGGACAGCTACGGTCGGGAATTTCAGTACTACCGGCGCCAACAACTTACCTTCTTTCGACTTGGAAGCACAGGTGACTGTTAAGAACACCAATTTTGGGCACTTCAAGTACGAAAACAGCACGCTAATTATACTGTACGGAGAGTTTCCCGTGGGAGAGGTGGCCGTCCTGAAGGGCAGAACAAGGGCGAAGCAGACCAAGAAATTTGACGTTGTAGTGGCAGTTAGCTCCAGCAGGTTGTCCAGCAACCCCAATTTCCAGAACGACATAAACACCGGAGTTTTGAGGCTGAGTAGTGAGGGGAAGCTGAGCGGGAAGGTAGAGTTAATGAAGGTGATTAAGAGGAAGAAATCTGCTGAAATGAGTTGCACCATGGAAATCAATCTGGCCACTAAGGCTGTGCAGGATTTGAAGTGCAAGTGACATGCTGCTTCTATACATGAATTGCTCTGTTTTTTTAACTCTGTTTTTCTTTTGTTATATATATAGATGCGGTATACTGTTATGCCATTTAGGCCCATAGATTCTTTTTGTACTTTGTCTAAATTTTTGTTTGGGAGTATTTTTTAAGTGATTGATTCATAATAATATCTGCTTCTTTATAATTTCCTTTTGATTTTTCTTTTATATTATTGAAAAGGTGGTTATTTGGTATTATAGATATTTGAGTTAAAGATAACCATATTTTTTAAAACTCGTAAAATTTTATTGAGATTCTAGTTATAAGAATAGAAATATTAAGAATATTTTTTCTTATAAGACAAGGGTAAAGATAATTTTTTCCTCATAAAATTTTTTTACCTCACATTTCCTCATAAGGATCCATATATAATAAAAATATATATAAATTTATATTTTTATAAATTTAATATAT